CGATCCTATATTATACTTGAACACTGCACTATGCCAGTGAGGTGTGGAGGAACGATACACGCGGGAGGTTTTACGACACGCTAGAACAAAGGTACGAGTCTCAGTATTCGTTTCGAATCTCTATTAACAATTGTTTGTACCTAGAACAAAGGTACGACTAGATGTACGTCAGCGCTTGCGCTCGAACGTTACAGTGGGACTTGTACTTACGTCTCAGTATTCGTTTCGAATCTGAGACGTTTCGACGAAAACAGCGTCCTCTTATACGGTGAGTCTGCCAGCAATAGCTTTGATGAAAAATATATACTTAAAGAACGAAAAGATTGCCGACGTTGACACGTCGTCGACGTTCTCCGTTTGGAGACGCTCGCACTCGATGTGCTCTATTCTTCGGCCGTATCGTCCTTTCCTTTCTCAGCTCTCTCTCTCTCGGCCTTACTTCCCTCGGACACATCGGCTCTCAACACTCCCCCTCGAGCGTTATCCAAACACATCAATGTCCTCAACCTCTGGAGTCGGGGACGTGCCAATGGCTTCGTGAACGCGTCCGCGACATTGTCGTCACTGGGGCAGTAGATTATCTTGAAGGTACCGTCCTTCACGTGGCCGCGTACGAAGTGGTATCGCAGGTCTATGTGCTTGGTGCGCGATTGGAATTTTCCCGTCGAGACTAACGCTATAGCAGCTTGGTTGTCGCAGAAGATGGGTGTGGGGAGGTCTTGGACGTCGTAGAGCTCGCGGATGAGGAGTTGCAGGTAAAGTACTTCCCTTGCCACGCTGGTCAACGCTATGTACTCAGCTTCAGCTGTTGACAGGGCTATGATAGGCTGTTTGCGCGCGCTCCACGAAACGGGGCCTCCATGGAGCAGTACGATGTACCCGCTCATGGAGTGCCTATGTGGCTGCGATGCCCAATCGGCATCGACAAACGCCTCAATTCCTCCCTCGCTGGATCCCAACGTCAGCTCATAGTCTGCGGTGCCTTTCAGGTACCGCAGGGCGCGTTTGGTGGCCTCCCAATGGGGTCTCCCCGGATTCCTCATAAATTGCGACAGTGTTGCCACCGCAAAAGCGATATCTGGCCGGGTACTCGTAGCTGCGTACATTAACGAACCGATCGCGCGTTGATATGGTATGTCTCGCATAGCTTGGAGTTCGGCGTGTGTTGCAGGGGACTGATCTATGGAAAGGACAGTACCTGGTTCCATGGGCGTGTGCAGGACCTTCGCGTCCTCCAGGTGGAACCTTTCGAGGATCGTCTCGACGTATGCCTTCTGTGAAAGTGTCAAGGTGCGTGCTACGCGGTCCCTCGTCACCTTCAGCCCCAATAACCAGCTCAACTCCCCTAGGTCGCTAATCTCGAAGTGCGCGCGCAGCTCGGACTTAAACCGATGGATATGGGATATATGGTTGGCGGTGACGGCCATGTCGTCGACAGAGACGGTGATGACGACGTGTTCGCGCGAGGTGCGTTTGTAGAAAACGGCTTGATCTACTTTTGACCTGCTGAAGCCCATTTCATTGAAGGCTCCAGCTAGCTCCTGCGCCCACTCATATCCTGCTTGTTTGAGTCCAGGTAAGCTTCTTTTCAGCTTCAGTACCTTCCCTTCCTGACCATCCTTCAAGTATCCAGGGGGCGCTCGCATATATATGTCCTCCTGCAGACTCGCATATAGGTACGCACTTTTAATATCGACTTGGTGTATTTCCCAGTCGTGCTGAGCAGCCATCGTTAGGACTGCACGTATTGTGCTCATATTGGCCGTGGGGGCGAAGGTTTCGAAGAAATCGACCCCGTACTTCTGGCGCTGCCCATTTGCAACTAGGCGCGCGCGAAGCTTCAGCTTCTCGCCGTCCGGCCCGCGCTTTGTGGCCAGGACGTAATGGCATGGGATAAGGTTTACGCCTCGAGGTGCGTCTACGATTTCCCACGTACCTAGCTTCTCGAGTTGACTGACTTCGTAATTGATGGCTTCTTGCCACTCTGCAGCGTCTGGGCCCTTCAAGGCTTGTTGGAGGGTCGGTTCTGGTTGGACGGCGGCCAATGCTAGGTGAATATGCGCCTCTTCATCCAAGAGGTCGAGTTCTGACGCTTCCAACAGGCTTTCCATGGTTAGGGCTGCCGTTTGGCCCTCATTCAGCGCCGCATAGTACCCTGGGGGTGGTCTTACCCTCGTCGACCTCGCTTCAGGAGTAGATGGTTGAGGTTGCTGGGCAGTAGACGGTTGAGGTTGCTGAGGAGTAGATGGTTGAGGTTGCTGTGGCATGGTGATGGGCTGGACGCTACTAGGTGAGTTATTATTACCCTTGCCGCTGTTATGTTCGTTGACTACAGCAGACTCCCCCTCGTCCGGCATACCATCGGCTGCCAGGATCGGCGTGAAGGTCACATTCCTCTCCACCGAGACACGCCGTCTGCCGGGCCAATACACCCGGTATCCTTTACTTTCAGCGTCTACCCCCACAAAAACTGCCTCCTCCGCCCTCGCCTCCAGCTTACCAGCCTCCAGCATATGGACGAAGACCCTGGCCCCAAATTCATGGGCCTGCGACAAGTCCGGCTTGGACTTGCGCACCAACTCGTAGGGCGTGCTACCTGGGATCGCCCTTGAAGGTAGGCGATTCTTGAGCCAAGTGGCGTAACTAACGGCCTCGGCCCACAGGTACTTTGGCATATCTCTGCCTAGGAGCATTGCTCTCGCATGCTCGACGAGTGTCCGGTTGAGTCGTTCGGCGACACCATTCTGTTGGGGTGAGTCGTGCACTGTTAGCTGCCGCTCTATACCTTGCTGACGCAAGTATTGATCGAACTCGGCGCTCAGATACTCTCCTCCTCTGTCCGAACGGATTTTGCGCACGCGCACACCTGGTGATTGACGGGCCACCCATGCCTCATAGGACTTGAACGCGGTAAGTGCGTCACTCTTTTGTTTGAGGAACTCGAGTCGCGTCTGCCGGCTAAAGTCGTCCGTGAAACTGACATAATATTTACAGCCTCCCAAACTCGTCGTCTGCGCCGGTCCCCAGAGGTCCGTATGGACTAGTTCTCCGTATGTAAGTGCGCGCATCTTCGTTTCTCTTGGGAAGGACTGCTGAGCTGACTTAGCTTTCACGCAGACTTCACAGAACTGGATGGCGGGCGCCGGATCTATGTCTATGCCCAGGATTAGGCCCTTCTTGACTGCGTCAAGAAGGGCCGCATGTGATACGTGCCCTAGGGCACGATGGACATCATTGATGGTAAGCTTTGTCCTGGCGACGTTGGCACGATGCTTACGGTCGGACGTTACAGCGTAAAGTCCCTGGACTTGGGGTATTTCTGCGATCGTCCTTCGTTCGGGGGGAGCAGACAGTATCCTGCACATTCCTCCTTCGAACAGCACGGCCAAACCGGCGGAGGCGATCTTATTGGTGGAGATAAGGGTAAATGCCATGGAGGGGGCATATAGGACGTCTTTTAGCGTCACGGTCGTTCGTTTCGAGCCCAACGGTAAGTCCATCCTCACGTCTCCTCGTCCTGTCGCATTGACAGTAGCTCCATTCGCAGTGTATATCTTCTGCGGGGCGATCTCAACGAAGGATACAAATTTTGCCCTATCCGGGCAGAAATGAGAGGTCGCGCCGGAGTCTACTATTGCTCCTCGGCGCTCTGGAGGTACGTCCATCGATTTTGCTATGACTGCGAGGTCTGACGTAGCGAAAGCGTAGTTGTCCTTTGGCTCCGGCTCTTTGGCTACATTGGCACTTTGTTTTTGGGTGCGTCCTCCTTGTCTCTGCCGTTGATTCGGCCCCTGACCTTCTTTTCCTCCACCTTTTCGCCAACAGTCACTCTTCCAGTGGCCCTTACGATCGCAGTTCGTACAGACTGCGTCGGGGTTGGATTTTGGAGCCGAGCTCTGCGAGCTTGTGCTCCTCCCTGCATTTGTTCTCGCGGAGAGCGCACTGTTGGTCCCGCGTTTGTTGGGACGTCGTTCGGTGAGTAACCGGTGCTCGTATTCCTCTGTGATGATGGTGATGAGTTCGTAGGGCGAGAGGGGAGTTTTCGTTATCTTGGCCGCTGCGTTCATCGACGACAGTAGCGGCCGGTAGGATTCAGGTAAGGACCCTAGGATGATGGCATGAAAGTCCGTATCAATGACGGCTACCCCCATTCCAGCTAACGACTCCCTCAGGCGCAAAAGCTCTGAAAAATGAGCCTTGACGTCACCACCTTCTTCGCACCTCGTCTCCTGGAGCCTCCGTCTCAGATCTATCTGGACGAGTTCGGTTTTGCCTTCATGTATGTGGCATATTTCCTTCCAGATTTCGGACGCGGATGCTAACTTTTGGACACGTAACAGCAGCCGATCTGTGATCGTGCAAAATATTTGCTGTTTTACGAGTGAGTTCTTTTGTTGATACTCATCGGTCTTTGCGTCGAGCTCATCGATTTCTTTCTGCGTAGGTGTTGTACCATCCGGCTTCGTAACGGCCCCCGTAGAGCTCTTTACGAAAGGCGTAGGCTCTTTAGCTCGTCCATCGGTATATCTCGTAAGTCCTCGTGCACCTATAGCCGTTAACGTCCTTTCCTTGTAGGTTATCCAGTTCGAGCCATCTTCGGCGAGCTTCGGGATGTTAAAAAGGTTTGAATTGGTGCTGGGAGTCGACAAGTCCATGGAGGAGACAGGGCTCATAACCTGTGGAGGAACGATACACGCGGGAGGTTTTACGACACGCTAGAACAAAGGTACGAGTCTCAGTATTCGTTTCGAATCTCTATTAACAATTGTTTGTACCTAGAACAAAGGTACGACTAGATGTACGTCAGCGCTTGCGCTCGAACGTTACAGTGGGACTTGTACTTACGTCTCAGTATTCGTTTCGAATCTGAGACGTTTCGACGAAAACAGCGTCCTCTTATACGGTGAGTCTGCCAGCAATAGCTTTGATGAAAAATATATACTTAAAGAACGAAAAGATTGCCGACGTTGACACGTCGTCGACGTTCTCCGTTTGGAGACGCTCGCACTCGATGTGCTCTATTCTTCGGCCGTATCGTCCTTTCCTTTCTCAGCTCTCTCTCTCTCGGCCTTACTTCCCTCGGACACATCGGCTCTCAACATGAGGCAGCTAGAATAAAAAAGACGAGAATGAACCAGTTCCGAACAGCGATATTATGTAGATGAGACCCAGTCAGACATAGCTTTCTCAGCGAGAAAGCCCAGTACCTCCTCCACTGATGGACGACTCTCACTATTGATTGACCAGCACCGCCGCAAGAAATCCAGATGACGTGCTTGAATTTGCATGGTGTTATTTATGGGCTCTTGGCCTTTGTACTTTGATGACACAACTTGCACGGCATTCTGGCTAATCCACCAGTAGGGTGTTTTGCTGTATAATACCTGCGAATACCGTGTTAGCGTCATAAAAAAACGTAAATGAGGCACTGACCTCAAGCATGATACACCCAAGAGCATATATATCACTGGATTTGGTGGCACATGGCACGGTTTCACCTTCCGGGAAGAGGAGTTCTGGAGCTGCCCAACAAACTGCGCCATTGTGGAAGGAGAATGCCGGATTAGATTCTACCATGATATTCGAAACACCGAAGTCTGCAAGGCGCGGGGATCCATCAACAGCGATTAGGACATTTTTCTATACTAATGATCAGTGGGTCACGAAAGGTATAATGTAGGTAAACCTACACTGGTCAGATCGCCGTGAATCACGTCATTGTCGTGGACTGCCCGCAGTATACAGTCAAGCCGGTCGTCTCCAAGCCAATATGTTACTTACGATATTTGAGCCCCTCGGTAATCTGTTTAAGCTTTGAGAAACAGTAAGCTCCGGTAATCGGCGTCGAAAGAGAAACTTACAATGCGAAGCCTGTCCAACCTCGCAAGGGTTGTATTTTCACGAAGATAGGAGTTCAATGTCCCGTTCGGCATCCAGGGGGAAACCAATGCTCGAAATGGACCAAAACCTGTTGCGATGCCAAGCAGGCACAATATATACTGATGTTTCAATCCGGTCCAGATCTTGATTTCGCGTTCAAGTTTCTGTGTTCCAAAGAAGTTCAGACACGCGGAGGTTTCAGATACTACCCAAACATACATGATTTATTCTGGCAATTGCCACGGCGTCTGTAAGACTTGGATACCGTGGAGATTTGGCTGCAACCTGAGCTTAGGTGAGCGTAAGCATGGATGATCGACGTGTGGCATACTTCTTCCGGACTCGCGCCCCTGTTCAATATGCATCTGTAGACATCTGCAAGTCCACCCGAAGCAGTCGGAAATTTGGTTTTCCCGGTAGCAATGCTTGTGTCCACAGTGAACAAACTGCACGTTGATGTCTGAGTAGTTGCGGTCGGAATTAAATGAATAAGTTGCGAGCCCCCTTCAGAGATGGAATCGCGCCCGCTTTCCCCGTCTTCGGAGGTATATTCAAAGGAGGTCTGGCCTAAATAAGGTTGCCGCTCACCAGAAGAGAACCGAGTAACGTCAGATGGAGAGGGTGAGCTGGGTCGATCATGGTAAAGAGGGACTTGACGTGCAAGAGCCCTCAGAGGAGTGAAAATCGACATATCGATAGGAAAACACAGGCACAAAAGGATGTCGATGTGCTTTCTCAGCAACAATTGTTTTTCGTCTTATACACAAGGATTACAACGGTTCCCGTTGATATCGCGATCAACTGATAGCTCCCGGGAATAGAAATTGCAGAAGGCGCACCAGGAAAGCCGCAACTGGGATTGAATGAAATCTACGCTGGAGCTGACCTTCCACCACATAAACGCCTATCCTATTCATAAACGCATCAAGTAAAGGCAGACACCGAGTTCATCAGATTTCCTGAGGCGTGGTCAGGGATATAGAACTACCAATCGAAATTTTAGCCCAAGCTATGCGCGATGCATCGACTTCGGCGACAACCCTGTGGTGGATGTGAATCTTGATAACCAATTCAATGTTAGCAAACGCTGCCTGTCGTCTGATCATGACTTCGAGCGCTGAGAAGTATGCGCTCATCCTAAAATAAATGGATCTATCTCTTCTATGATAATAACTCGAGGCGGCGCCTATATGACTCGTGTTGTTCTTCTGACCACTGTAAGACCACGCTTTAGACCACCCATCCGATAAGGGTGACTTACTAATGTATGCATCATATTGAGCTTTACGGTCCACCATCTACGGAAACTTGAGTGATGTGCGTGCGCGTCTAAGTATAGAGTTCATAAGCTCCCAATTAAAAAACTGCTCTGTTGACGGTGATGTCAAGGATCTCGACCTCGCCGATTGTGGATTCTCTGCTATTAGTTCGAGCCGAGAGACACGGCACCCTAGATGCGAAGGATAGTGGTTCGGTGATGTGTTGGCGGTATTCTCTTCCAGAAGTTTAATCTCGGAAGGACCATGCTTTAGGTGCGTGTGATCAATTCACTGATCCCCATGCAGATCTCAAGGACCGAGTCCTATCGTCGGATGGACATGGAAACGGGCCAAACTACATCCACATACTTGACTGGGATTTCGCTTTAAGTTCAAAGGATCAGGAGACATGGAATGTCTGCCGGCTGAAGACGAAACCACTGCATGTATAAAAGGACGAGCAATCGATGGTTGGGTCGGACCGAACTAATCTGCAAATGCCCATCGCTTGTGGATCAACCCGAACTTATTAACGAAATGTATTTGATAACTTACTATTTGATACCGTAACAGATGCAGATCATGTGGCAGAGGTATAGCACGGCGCAATACAGGTTATACAGCAACATCGTCCAATCGAGTCATATTTAGCACCCCCTTACCAAATCCACCCGCAAGCACTTTAAACCCGTTATCTTGCACATCTGCGAGGAATAGCTCGTGTTGATCTGCCATCCTCTCGTTATTCCTCCGAATCTCCTGGATGATCCCATGTTGGCGTAAGCAAAGCGGGCATTCTGTCTCGTGGTCCAGAAGACATCTATATGAAATGTACATTAGAACTGACATCACGAGATAGCCAGAAGAGGTGAAAGGAATAATTCGGACAGTTAATAAGTAAGCAAAATACGTACCGCTGGTGATACGAGTGGTTGCACATGAAATGGACGCTGGGGAGATCGAGCTGCCCGCTGCACTGAGAACAGCGCGTCACACTAAACACCTTTGCATGCATGGGGTCCTCTAGTTCAGCCACTTGCTTCAACTTCGCATTCGTTTCTAGCTGGTATGAGTTGATCAGTTGCTGGTCCTATCACACGAAAAATCATCAGCGTGAAAATGAGAAAGAAATGTAAAGAAATCACAGTTTGCACTTCTTCCCTTGCTTCCTTGATGCGTCCCATGAGCCAGTCCTTAACAAGGCCTACGCTCGCTACTCCATTCCTACTCAGTATCTGGACTACACCAAGCGGAGGTATTATCCGCTCCTTCTCGATGTGTTCCAAAATCTTCTCTACGTCCGCCTGGTGCCGCGTGAGCAGCTCCGGCGTGCTTGTTAAGAAGCGCAGCACCAGCTCATAGAGGTGCGGGTGTGTTGGGCCATATCGTAGGAGGGCCTGCACGACCTCTGCTGATGCAGAAGACTCGGATGGCGATGTGTTGTGCTTGTCCATCCAAAACCGTAAAATGTCTTCATACATACCCAGCTTCTCCCAAAGTATGACCAGACCTCGGGTATAGCTGTAGCTGCTGCAAAGAATCAATGCATGTGTTTTATCGCACGGTAAAGTGTCGCTCGTCAGAACTTTGAGTGCCTTTTCCTGTTGTTCTGGAGAGCCTCCGTCAAGGTAGAGCTCAAGCAACGTGTTCCAAACTGCTGCCTGATTGTACTTCTCTAGGTCTTCGTCTTTGTCCAGACTGGTATCTAGAAGAGAAGATGGGAGAGAGGAAAGTGATTGTCCCCACCGACGTGCGGCTACGCTTTCTAGGAAACGGACAAAATATGACGGATGATCAACAAAATGTGCGAAATAGAGTGTAGGTGAAGGTCGTTTCTCTTTGGATAGTGTTGGTGCGCTGGGCTGCGTTGTTTGAGGTTCCGTAAGGTCCTCCTCTTTGTCCAGATTGGATTCCTCAACTTTGTCTTCAGGCGCGGGTGTACGGGAGAGGGCAAGGTACGAGAGGTAAGATGGGGCGTTTGCTGGTGCGCTCGACTGTTGTGGAGTAGTGTCCTCTGCTTCAGGGATGATGAGGGGCCCAGAGATGGTGCAAAGGTCAATAAGAAGCTGTGTCGTCTCCTCCGGAAGATTATCTAGCATAGCGCGTCCATACCTAGCGAGGTTGCTTTCCGCCTATATAAATGTATTAGCCTCATACAGGAAAAAAAAACCAAAACCGAATAACGAAGATAAGGCTTACCGCGACTGCTCCCAAGTGTCTCAAATACATCAATGCTTCCCCATACTTCCCAGCGTCTTCAATCATGACCCTCAAATATTCTTCGTGTCGCTTATAGCGCTTCGCAAGGTAGCTGGCATGATCAAAGTATCCTGCCTGCCTACACACCCGGATAGCAGTGTCTAGGTCAAATGGAAGGTCGCCGTTCGACTCTGCCGCACCAGAGCGTCGAGACTCTGTTTTAATGAAGCTGTCTAAGCGTGCAACATCTTTGAGTTTGGTGTAGGTATTAAGCAGAAGAGTGGTATGATCAGCGTTTGCCAGACCAAGGGCATGTAGCTCTTGCAGATAGGTAACGAGGTTGTGAATGCGCTGAGCGTCCAGGAACTGCGCCACCATCGTCAGATCTATTTTGTTGGAAAAAAACACAAATAACTGACTTTTCTAACGACATAGCTTGGTTTCACCCAACCTGTCGTCTTCAGATAGCACGTCATCGCGCCATCCCAATCTCCTTTCGTGTAGAGGTGGTCACCGTGCTGACGATGAATATCAGCCACGTAGCTCTCGTCGAGGTGTTGTGTCTGCGCGAGACTCAGTGCAAGTGGGTACAGAGCCTTTGCGTACAGCATGGAGAGTTTTGCAGAGGTGGATTTCTCGGCAAGGCGAGTCAGCTGAACAAGGGCAGTGACGTCAGATTGAAAGTCAAGCCACAGTTCTGAGCATCGTTAGGACGCACCTGCCCATTATTTGTGAGGATGTAGATATTTCCCCACTCCGAGATCACCTCTCTGATACCCTCCGCAAACACCCCGGTATATCCAACTACCTTATTCTCCATGTCAAACACAGTCACCCTCGACGCATCACCGTCTCCACCTGCCACTTGCGCTGCAAGCTTTCGCGTAGCAGATGACGTCGTTGTAGCTGTTGTGGGTGGTGAAACGACTATCACATAGTTAAGGTGGGTGTGGATCGACGACTTGTAGCCTGTGAAAGACGTAACATCACCTCTCAGTACTTGAGTTCGTACCGATCCGCTCACCTTCATAAGCATATGGCGGCTCCCTCCCATGTAAACCATACGCATATACTGCCTCATCTCTCGCAAGCACGATCTTCTCGGCGCGCCAATCCATCACCGCACATCCTAATCCACATCCAATATCGTCTAATAACACGCTAGATCCCCCACTCCCTTTGCCAGACACGTGGTACAAGTGTACCGTGTTCGTGGTCACAATGAAAAGGTGCAAGTTGTTATCCTTAGCATCGGCATTAGTGGGACTCGGAAGTTCTCGGAAACCAAGGCCAGTGATAGGTTCAGGGGATGATTCATGAATGATCCGTGTCTTAGGCAGTGCAGTCAGGGACGTTGTGGAAGACAGCGACTGGTCCAGATGCCTGTAAAGTAGCACCGTCCCGTCGGCCAAGCCGATGGCAAGGAAAGACAGTGCAGAAGAAAGTGCAAAGCAAGAGACCTGAATTACAAGCTCACCGAGTGAAAGCTGAACGTAGTGAGTTACTCACTGGATGAGGCTTGTTGCTAGGCTGGACCTTGGCAGATTTCAGTAACACTGGTGCTTGGTTTCTCTTGTCCGTCTTCCCAAGATCCCAAATCTTGAGCAAACTACCTCGTACTGCGCTCTCCTCCCCAATTGTCACCAACACACCACTCCTCTCTGCCATGTGCATTACTCGTCCTCCCACATGTGCGACCCAGCTCGTTGTCGATACGAACTCCTTGTTTAGAGTGTGTATACTGCCGTGAATATCCGCAACGAGCAACCCAGCACTGGATGAGGTGACAGTTGAGATTTCCGAGGCGTTTTTGAAAATATCGGGTGGGTTAGCAAGGTCATGGACGTCCTTCACAGGGTGAGCATCGAAAAATGCAAATTGGCGAAGCTGAAGGGGTCTAGTAACTGAGGGCGACTACGACATCCGACAGTGGCCAACATACCGCAGTAGCAGCTACAACTTGGACTGTCGTATTTACCATCGAACTTGACACGAAAGTTGACTACTAGTCAAGGGGAATTGAACCAGCGCTGGAACGTATCCTGCTAATTTGAGTAATCATGTTGTAATCAGGAACCATAGGTTTCTGCAGTGCAGACGGCGCTCATAATGACTAAGTACTAGTATGTACCCTAGTAGGATTAAATACTAGTAATGTGCATAAGTCAAAGCTGGTGTAGCATATCGTGTATCTACTATTCTACATTCGTTGTGAAAAATAGCTGGTGCGATGTCGAGGACATCTGTGAGCATGTTAACATGATAGCTGTACGCTTAAATCGCAGCTGTGAGAGATATCAAGGTATGGAATCTCGCGAACATGATGTCGGACAGAGCACAAGATAGAGCATATGACATACAAAGCTAGGAAACTGCCGTGGCATCACGAGTCGCATGAGAACAGGAGCTTTCTTCTAGCTGTCCCTGTATAAATGTCAGGACTTCGTTGGCTGAAGGCCTTTGTTCCAGTTTATCAAGCCAGCACTTCTGCATGAAATCCCATAAAGCATCAGCGATGGATGGAGTCATTGGTCGGGCAGGCTTTCGGCCTCTGAGTATCTGTACGGTAACTTGATGGTCACTCCGAAATTCAGAATACGGAACCTTTCCTGTGAAGACCTACAAAGAGATCGATAATTACATCGCATGATGTCAAGATCCACCGACAAACCTGCAACATGATGCACGCGAAAGAATAGATGTCTGATGCCAATTGGGGCGAGCTTATTGACTCGTCATCTTCCGGAACTTGAAAGTTTTCAGGTGCAGCCCATCGCACATTGCTTCTGATGTATGACGTGCCATGGAGCTCGGCACAAAAAATGAGAATTCCATGGTCAGCCACGAAGGCTTTGCCGTTCTCATCGATGAGAATGTTGTTCTGGATCGCGTCAATAATTGTTTTGAAGGAGATCTCTGTGGTACTCACGCCGGTGAGATCACCGTGTACTATGTTTTCGGAGTGCACTAATATTCACATTAGCTTTGCGTCGAATACTGAGGTTTGCCGCATACAGTACTCAATAGCTGAAGCGACATCTTTGAGCTGTAGTGTCAAAGATTAAGATACGAGCCATACCACGAAGAAGGACCCACAATTTGAAGCATTCGAGTGAGAGTGAGTTGTTGGAAATCACGTTCCAGAAGTATGGTAAGTGAGCCTTTGTTCATCCATGGGGAGACGATAGCAGGCAGTGGACCAAATCCTTGAGTTATGCCCAACAAAGGTAACAGATTGGCGTGTTTCAGCTTAGTATTCCGCTGCAAGTCGTGTTCGAGCCTCTGAAGTGTCACGCATTAGCAAATAAGCACGTGGTATTACTGGTGCGTGGTGCCATTCGAACCTCGGTAATTTTTGTCTTGCAGTTATCGTTCGGAATTTCAAGTCGCAGACACTTTACTGCAACCTGGTAAAGGGAGACAGTATGAGTGCATATTTACAGGTCCAAACCTGAAGGAGGCTACCGTGATTCGAGGGTGCTTACGTATGCACTTCCAGACGTCCCCAAAACTGCCTTGAGCGACAGGGTATCGGGATGACTCCTTGCTTATTTGCTCAGTGAGGTCAAGCAGACTATTGATCCGTAGACACTTGGTCAAAATTACACGAAACATAAATTTGCATAAAAAAACAAACTCATTATTTATTTGTGCCGACTTCCAGCTAAGCCCAAGGCTGGCAAGCAACGAGTATATATTCCTTGCCCACTTGTTCAGCCAGGCTTGAAACCGAGCGGATACCAGGATCAACATATGAAGAGGTGGCTAGTGAGTGAGTCTAATTCGGACAGCTGGGATAGCATCCCCATAGCCGCCCTACAGTAGGGACTCTTATGATAATTTAAAACAGTATATCCCAGGACCCTGTACATGTAAGGGGAACTGGAATCCCCGTCACACCGATGCTTTGGACCTTTTATTCCTATTGTGTTGGTGACCCGGGACCCTGCTGTTCTTCTATCTAATGGCCCCTGAGTATATGGGCGCGAGGCGCTTGCCCGAAACGAGATTTCAATCCCAGATCCGGCGGCTATACGAACGTCACCCACGCCCGAGGCTGGCGCAAATGTTATTACATATGTACGTTCATTTATGTAATTTGTAAGACAAGACCATCATCATCTTCGATTCTCATCATATCATAGGCCGCCCTCAATCGGACGCCCGTGGCTGGCGCAAATGTTATCACATATGTAATGATGTAACATCCATCTTGGCAGGTATGCACCTATTAATTGTGGTAAGCGCCTTGAATCACATCTTTCTCAGCATCGCTGCATCATGGTGCATACAGACTTACATGCAGCTGCCTCATGCTAGTCGGACGACCAATTTCCTGGCGTTAGTGTGAATTCAGGGGTCGAGGCAGTGAACACCTGAACCCTGGGATGCGGGTCTATGTACCACATGAGTTGTGCCAAGTCCCGAACGAACGGTAAATTATTAGTCTATCAAGCGCTTTCAGATTTTGCAGGACTTCAAGCCTCAAGCATGCAAACATGTGCTGATACGAACTCGCTACTACTTTTTTTTCTCCCATCATCATTCCCCCCTTACCCGTTATCTCATTGACTCGGAGGAAATGTCAGAGAATACCCCTGCCATAGTCGCTTCCTCTGTTCATCTCCACATCACCAGTAGGAATTTTCAACTTGTTGTGTATTTGTCCCTTAATTTTTTTTTCCCAGGTATTGTCATCCGCTTTGATGACACCTCAAAGAAGAAAATCGATTTTGCCGAGTTGAAGTTGGACTCACAGCGACAGGAGATTCGCCACAGTTCGGAACAAGACAAAGACCTCAGTGCGAAGTTCGATCCCGCCATGTGAGCCTACTTATTTTTGTAGAAACTGGTTTAGAACATTGTAACACAGTGCGGTGACCACTGACCGGGTTTCCTTGTCTGTACACTATCAATACTATACTATAGGCACGTTTCTGAGGAAGACCACCAAGAAGTTTTCATTAGACAGAAAAGATATCTTGTCTAATGCAGTGAGTCACGACGGCCAACGAGGTGAACCAATTTTCCTCCAGCTGTACTGCATAACACTTATAGTTCGATGTGATAGAGTATAGGATGACTGAGGGGAAGATGTCTGTTGTTGTCACAACGTCGTCAGTATAGTGGTCTCTTATCTCAGAAGAAACCTGACCCGATCATGATTGATGATATCAGACAGCTGCAGTCGACTAGCAGCAGTATTCTAGAGATTTGCCCAAGATTTCGGCTACTTGTGATAGGGAAGGTCCGTCTCTGTCATTATCTTCAAGCATAGACGATTCACGCATCCACTTCGTAGACCGGCGTCGGAAAGTCATCACTGATCCAGCAGGCATTCAGAATAAATGAAGTAGTTGAGTCCATGGATTACTGTCGCGTGGGGACCGTTGCTGACGTTCGCATGTCCTTTACAGCATATTTCTGAACACAAACGTGGTGAAGCGGATATCGAAAGGGAATTCATCGCGGAAGAAAATGAACGATTTGTCCTCCACGATAGTCAAGGGTTTGAAGCTGGCGATAGCATGATTTTTAAGACCGCAAAAGACTTCATTGACCGCCGACGCAAGGAGCCCAAATTACAGAACAAAATCCATGCGGTATGGTACGGTCTTCTGGCTTCCGCTGCCACTCTGCCATACTGACACTGTTTGAAGGCTCTGCCTTTCGATACCTCATGCCGATGGACGCTTGCTTGAGAGCGGAGTAGAGGAATTTCTCAAATTGAGGAAGGAAATACTAGGCAATAGTGCGCAGCGTTTGCATTTTGTTTTTCATAACTCATATTTTAAATCTAGTTCCGCTCATTGCTGTCTTCACCAAGCATGACATCTTTGTCGACAAATTGGAGTACGACGCTGGTGAATCATGCGATGAAGTCACGCTCGAAGACCTTAAAGTTAATACATTGGATAAACTGTGTATCCAGCCGCTTAAGGAAGCAGCTGGGAGCGACATCCTGCACGCAACTGTTTCAAGTAAAGGGGTTTAAATTATCTAGTCCCCGATGCTGACATACCATTATAGCGAACGAAGAGTACGAGAGGACCATAAGACAACTGGTCGATCTTACAACCACGAACGTCGAAAAATATGTTGCCTCAGAAGCGGCATTAGCAATGATGATAGCCCAGCGAGTAGACATCGGTCTTAAACTTAAAGCATCAATTGCGTACGCACGACCACTGCTATTTTGGTAAAAGCCTTAACTTCATGTTTTTGCTCTCCACAGCATCGGCGAGAAAAGTTAGTCTTGCCATAGTCTTCGGTGCCTTGTCCACTTCCAATTTTCTAGGATATTGGAGAGGTCTCGCTTCGAGCATGAACTTCACCGGCTTTACCATGTTGGACTGCTTGTCTGTGATTCACAAGGACATCATTGACGTTTGGAACTTCAACGACCCTCATTGTGTGAGATATATATTCCATTTCATGTCACAGGCCGCTGACACGTTTCTGCGAAGCACTTGTCCAGTGACCAGTTCAAAGCACTGATCCTAAAAGATCTAGACAAGGTCGACCTTCCACACACAGCACAGGCCTTGTGAGTTGTTAGTTATTGTACTCCGAGACGCTTTCAATTTACAGAAATCTTGACAGTGAATTCGGCCTCTCCGTGGTCGCGACAATTGCATCGATTTTGTCATCGCTATCCGGCCCGCTTCTACCAATCGTCGTACCCATTGCCGCAGGGGTGGTCTTGACTAAATGGGTTTATGATACCTATCAACGGACGTGAGTGAATGCGTTCTGTTTCTATCTGAAAGGTGGTTATAAGGTGACCGATCTAGAAACATTGTTTTGCGGCGGATCATGACATACATCGTGGATTTAACATGTATCATGCAAATCTTGTTCCTGCTAGCACCGACAGGGCCTATCTCTCGTCACGTCATAAAAATTGCCATCAAAGGTTATGAGGGGACGTGCAAAAGCGATGTTCACTCAGCAATTCAATCGCACTGTGTATCTGTCACCCGTGGCGGAGGGGACGATGCATTGGAGAAGATAGTTAGATTGATCAAGGATCATTCTATCAAGGCTGAAGACGTTCAGAACCTGAGGACGAAGATTGGGCACGTGGATTTGCAAGTAGAGGAAGAGTGGTAGACGGTCACCGGGCTTTCATACATGACAATGGTTTGTAGTTTCCAAAACGTACCTAGTTCACTAATACGTGTACATATGTGCACAGTGCTCATCTAAGTATACATTTGACTAAGCTTTGAACTCGAGCTACATAAGTGTAACTTAGTAGTGGGTTGCAGGTTCAGTGGGACAGGAATCTGTTATACTTGGTGATGAATATTCATGACAAAAACATTGTAATGCACCCTTGGCAGCACTTTTTAGTGCTTCCCATGGTCTGTCAGACCCGGTTTTATAGTAGGACATAACACATCTCTGAGACAACCCTCTCCTAGGAGGGTCTCCCTCAAATCCTCCAGAGTCGCCACAGTACCCTCATAGGCCTCGTTGAGAGAGTCTCCCTAAATCCTCTGGAGTACCCTTGTAGGCCTCGTTGAAGGGTTGGCTCTGGTTGTCCGTGGCACACCGTGCTCCTAGAAGAGCCCTCAAGCATGTTATCGTGCCAGTGGATCCCACTGCCCTCAAGATAATATGCAGCCTCTGGTGCTCCTCGCACATGCATTATGTTTTCCTCTTTGTCATATCCGCTGTGTTTCTACTTACGCCTATGTCGTCTTATCTCATCGCATGTTTTTCTTCGTTGAAATTATATTCATTGTTTGTACTTATGTTATTCTAATAAAACATATCGCACCCCACTATGGTCATTCTTAACAATATTGAGCCTGTTCTGAAGCAAACAAGAGCAGCTGCTGGAGCCACTAAACTGATATTGTCAAAGTCAAAACAACAAGGTCCATAGCAACATAAGTAGGGTATGAGAGGGACAGGGCAAGAGTATGACAGGGCAAGAGTACGACGGGGCAAGAGTACGACAGGACAAGTGCAGGAATGAGCAAACCATCAAACTATCACTGCGAAAAAACAAAGCAAGCACGAAGATGAGCTAACATAATGAGCTAAAAAACACAAGTGCGGCCATATCGAAAGTCAATTAAGATGAAGGAGGGCGTGGAGAGTCGACTGGATCTCGACTGAATGATCGGGGCACAGCTTCATGATGAGCATAGTCCAAAGATGGAGCATTACGACGATCCATCCATCTGGAATCCAGGTGACGAGTTCTTCTTGGAGGGTATCCGCTTTCACGGTAAGCTCCTCCACCAAATGCCCGGCGCTCATCAAGATCATCACGTCGAGAATATCCGCTTTCATGAGCATATTCAGGACCGAGTACTGGGCTGTATCGACCTGGGTATGTACGTTCACGCTCACCGTGAGCATAATGGTCATCACGGTATACCTCCAAGGCTGGAGAGCTATCCCGTGTGGTGAAGTCACTGTTGGCATGAGGCTCATTGGATCCGTAACGGTCGTGAGGTTGCAAACTAGGATAACGGGGATTGCGAAGGTCATGGTGATAGAAGGCATCGCGAGGGTGGAGAGCGTCACGCTCAATTATTGGAGAATCTTCACGCAGATGATGGACTTCACGACGATGCACAGCCTCGTGCATGTACCATGGCTCACGAGAATGACTGCGAAGAGGCTGACGAGGGTCACGCAAGATGTCGCGAGGGGCGTGATGGGGAATGTCTCGAGGGTCATGGAGGACATTGTGACGAGGCTCGTGAGGATTGCGGAGAGGGACAACCTCACGTTGAGGTTCCCGTGGGTGATGTATAGGGTCACCCTCATGAGGGTCTCGCTGGACAGCCTCATTGGAGCCTCGCTGGATACCCTCGGGAGGGTTACGATGGACAGGAAGCTCATCATGAGCTTGGTGTGTGGTATCTGGAGGGTTATGAGGGTCGTGAACGATATGGTGAAGATCCTCCTCGACGGGATTGGTGGTTTGAGCCTCTGAAGGCAAGTCTTCCTGTACTGTTTCCACGGCAACATTATCTAAAGCAGGGGAGACAGCACTCTTCACAGCCACATCCATCTTCTTACCCTCATCCACTTCAGATCCGTCCGAGTGGCTGTATGCCATCCGAAGAGCATGTTTCATTGTACCCTTGGATTCCCTGGTGATTGGACGTGGTTTTACTAGACGGTAGATGATGGAGGGTAGATCAATAGATAGAATATTTGATTTAGAAAAGAAAAGGCTTACCCTTTGTGCGCACGTTAGAAGGACCATCCTGACGTGATGCTACTGCTGCAGCTATACACCTTGAGTCAACTAGAGTTAAGTTAGAATAAAGGGGGGTACTCACCCCCAGCCTTAGGCTCTGGTGATGCCGCCACACTCGATGACCCCACTGTCAATGGGGACAGAGGGCCACCCTTCGTTGGAGAAGTTGTTGAGGTTGGTAAGGCAGGCACTTTGGGTTGCTTTGAATGTGCAGCTTTCTTCCCCACTTTTGACACGTCAGCCTTCTCGTTGGATGAGGCTGGCTTCTTTGATGCATGCGATGTATTCCTAGACTTCAGTTTTCTCTTCTTTCCACGTGCTTCTTCATACTCGCTGTCAGGCTCTGTGGCGACATTCTCCCCGGCCGAAGTAAGTTCGATCACCTCATCATGTGCCGCAGTCGGTTCTGGCTTTGGAACAATTTTGAATGGGCGTGAGGGTGGTAGTGCAACAACTTTAAACGGGGGTGGTATTGGTGGTGGTGCAGCGATTTCTACTCGCATGTTAGCTTTTCGGAACTTACGAACAGCAGGTACCACTGGATGGTCATCATCTGAACTGTCGTCGTCATCATCATCAGGTGGTGGTGGGGCTTTTGTCGCTTTATCGGCCTTCTTGACTTTGGTAGCTGCATTGCTAGACTTAAGACGAGCTGGGCCATGGTAGTCTGTGTCACCATTAACAAACAGTCGTCGAGCACCGGCATGTGGCCAGTCAGAGGGAGGCGCTATGCCTGTGATGACCGGCCTTTCGGAGGCCATAACAGATGCTACAAATAATATTAGAATTATAATGTTCTTACAACAACGTAATCAAAACTTACCTCGATGTACCTTGTCAACTTTGACAACTTGCATAGTTCCTGACTTCAATGCCTCCACGAGCACCACGATTTCTCTCTGGGTCAGCGCCCCAATACCCTTGTTCTTCGAGTTCTCATTGTGAGCTTCGCCAGGCAAGAGACATCTGTCAGCCGGATACCCTCTAATGCAGATATTGGCATCAGCAAGTGCGCTGGACATGCCTTTCCAAGGGAAGTTTTCGTCCCAGGCACACTTGCCCCCAAGCTGGGCTAGTGCACATTTAGTCAGATGAACCAAAAGACCAGTAACATTCAAACATACCGACTTGTTTGATCAGCTCGAGCTTAACCCACTTTAAACCATCATCACGTCCTTCAGGAGCCTGAGACTGCTCGCGACCGTTGTTTGAAGTCGAGCGGGGGGTCAATGAGTCGCTGTGGGTATCGTCATGGAACACTTCATCCACCGTAGCTAACGATGTGTTATTGCTGTTTGGAGACAGTGTCAGTCGTAGCATAAATGTAGTCATGGTCATACTTACTACACGTGTGCTTTAAGATGTCCGATGATGGCATCATCACTGGCTCGGCATCGTGTCTGCCAGAACTACATCTTGCTAAGTATATGTAAGGATTTAGACAACAAAGAACTTACCCCTGCAGCACCCGGCATACTATACGAGTGACCCAGTGATCCATCTTCATTTACCACTTTGCCACATAAGACAACGGCTGCTTCAAAGCCACACTTAGCGGAAGCAGAGTCAAGCTAAGATAACAATATGAGGTGATGATGAAACTTCGGGTGAGATAACATACAATCTGTATTACTCTTCGATAATGCTTCTGGAATCCCTGTCCCCGCTGAGCTATTGTCTGGGTAGACGATCCAAGGAGTAACGCCTCCTTGTGCATCAACAGAAGGTCTTGATAAGATTCAGGATACGCCTCTTTGAATTTGTCGTAGCATTGAGTATGCACGGTTGCACCTGTAAGAAATATAAGCTCCTGTGCAACAAGACGTAATATGGTACTCACTAGGTGTGCCACCTCCGGCTGGGGCCTCTCGGCCAATACGTGCAAGCTCTGTCTTGATGTGCTCCTTGAAGTAGTTGGCGTACAAGTTCCAGTAGTTGGTGCCATTCACGGTGCGTCCACGACTCTTCAAGAACAAGTTAATTAACTGTGAAACAGGAAGTGTAGTAGATGTAGAAAGATCGAGAAAGCAGCGCTCGACTGCAGCAAACCCTACATCGAGTGCTGTGTTCAGTTCTGCGGACCTACGCCCGGTGACTGTATTCCCCTCTTGATGGGTCACTGGCTCATGCTCTTCGGGAAAGCGTTGATGAAAAGTAGTGACCACGCCAATGGAATTTGTCGAGGTGGAAGTGTTAGTCTGAAATGGTGTTGGTGGAATAATGTTTGTTGCTGGGAGGGGAGGCGCATGATCTTGAGGTGATGATGACGGAACAGGCCGAAGGATGAATGGTGCGACTTCGCCTGAAAAATCCTGCGTAAATCCTGAAGGTGTTTGGCCTGTAGCATGAGGCTCTAGGGAACATGCACGAGAAGCCATTGTTTGACCTGATGAATTTGTAGGGAAATTAAAACTTGGGGGCGGTGCTAAGCGGTTCATGTCCTGTGTGATGAGGTGATGTTGTGATCCTCCAGGTAAAAAAGATGTAGTCCCCATCATGCTGAAGGCGTCAGAAGAGTTGGGATCCATCCACGCAGGTTGCTGGCTCATAGAGCCGTAAAAAATATCCTGGAGCTGCGCAGGAGCATGTGTAGTCGGAAATGGCGATGCGTGTCGACTACTAGCCACGTGGCCCGTTAGCGATGATGTCTCATTTGTCGAAGTGCCGTCTGCCACCATATGCGTGAAGTCTGTTGTACTAGACTGCACAGGTGTGGGATCTTGATCTCCCACAGTGAGGTTTTCATAGGCCTGGCGGCGGATCGATGCACCTTTGACAAGGCCAACATCACGCGCTGTGGCCTTCAGCTTACTCCTGAGTCGTGAAGGAGTAAGCTCGACAGGTGGTGTTGCACATCGACGACCGCCACCGAACTGTTCTTGCATGTAATCGAAGGTATCTGAAGATAGGCCCACATAGCTCGAGTGAGAAGATGGTGGGTTATCGGGGGCATCTTGAGTCATTTCTGCAGTATGTAGTCAATGATAGTCCATAGAAGAAGAATGTGAGTGCATGCCTACTGACCTGTATGCGAAATACTAGAGAAAAAATCTGGTGGTAATTCGGAAGGGACACAAAAATAAAGCACTGGAGCCCTGATACTTATGCGGCTCGTTTGAGCTGATACCGGGTCCCTCTGTGCAACAGTGATCCATAGTTTCATTTGGACTAAAAAAGTTAGATTGGAACGGTAGAACAGAAGCTAAACAAACGTACAAGACATTAAATTTATTCGGATAGTGACCGAGATGCAAAAGCTTGTGAGTGAGGGTGAGTGAGGGTGTGGGGAGCCTCAGGAGGCTGAAGAGAGGTTCCCATTAGTAATGTGAATACAGATAAGGTTGAGCACAAGCGACCTACATTGCAGCCGAAGATATGGTCTAGACCCGCTGGTAGTACCATCATATCAGAAAGGCTGAAAGAATATTAAGGATGATGTGAAGATGTACAGCACCGAATACAGATGCAGATACACATAGAGTTGAGCATAAGGAAACACAAATGACTTACTTTGCAGCTGAAGACTCGGACTGGTGGTATCATCGTGTCAGAAAGGCTGAAATGAGCATTAAAAAGTACAGGTGACTTACTTTACAATTGATGATTTAGACTCCCAAATGTTGGATATCAAAACTTCGAATCGAAGTGGTTACCAAAAATGAAGGGGTAGCCAGAAACAGTAATTGTGACGCTAGATGCTGGTCATAGCTGAAGAGTGAGGAAGTAAGCAGGGGAGTGTTTGGGGAGGCCAGCGAGGCTACAGAGAGGCTACAGAGAGGTTGGAAAATGAATGTCATATTGTGAGTCATGACTAAAGATAACTTATCTATGAAAGGATGAACTTACCTCTACTTCCTACGAAAAATTGATGGTTCCACCAGTGGCGTTTGCAGTCCTTGCTTGAGACTGCAAACGTGACATGTGACGCGTGATGACTCAACCACGGCGCTTGCTTGCTTCCTGGGCTCGATTGCCAATCGCGCTCCACCTGGACCTGGACCACTGACAATTGGCACAATTGACATCCAAGACTCATTGGCCGGACGATGGGTCTCGCTAGTGGTGTAGATCAGTGAGGTGAGTGTTGTTAGTATGAATTTCTTGAAGGTATGCTCACCTTTTCTTATGCAGGGCGCTATGTCGAGGCCATGGATCTCCTGGTTCCTATTCGTAGGCTCCTCAATACACTGCCAAGTTCAGGTGCATTGGAGAAGCTCATGAGCGCTCCGTTCATGATGATAGGTATGTGCCATCTTTGCCTGGCCCTCGAGACTCACCAAATTTCTGCACTAGGTACCAACGTGCTCCATTCATGGTTACAGGTGCGCTGGAGAAGCTCATGAGCGCTCCGTTCATGATTATAGGTATGTGCCGTCTCTGTCTGGCCCTCAAGACTCACCAAATCCCTGCACCAGGTACCGATGTGCTCCGTTCATGGTCACAGGTGTGCTGGAAAAGCTCTTGAGCGCTCCGTTCATAAGACAACTAGATTATGTAGTGCATACTTGTATGTACAGTAGTAGATTAGAAGAGAATGTATGGTTTATAAACATAAACTATTGGACAAATGCCCAAGCGAGATTGAAGTTACCTGCAGAAACAGCTAGGTAGGGATATAGTAGTAGACAGTGCAAAGACCCGTCCGGTGCCCTCCGCGCATTTTCCGAGCCTATCTGCGGTTCAAATGTTGTTGTCTGCTGGACCGTCAATTTCACTGTGATCAGCTCTACTTCTACCGAGTTTGCATATCAAATGAGATTTGATATTGCATGTCAGAAATTAAAGTACAACTTCGAAAACAATTATTATACTAACATGATATCTATGCAGTTATACCCATCAACGTCTGAGACACTTAGCAGGACGACCACTCTTATTAACATACGGCTCCTCATCCACAGTGATACTTTCATCATCAGAATCCTCGGCATATTCAGAGGTAGACGAAAGCGGCTCAACAGAAGTTATCGGTGGAATGAGGTCCTTGGTGTGAGTGATGTATGGGGGTGCTGATTTGTGCACAGCTCTAGAAGCTGGCAGCAGCGGTGGGCGCGATATCTCTACAAAAACTTGGACACGACGACGAGTAGCAGGGGTAGCAGAATGAGGAGGTGCAGTAGCAGGTGTAGCAGGGTGAGTAGATGGTGTAGCAGAATGAGTAGATGGTGTAGCAGGAGGTGAGGGGAGACGGCGAGGCCCTTTGCGGTCAATATCACCGTCAGCAAACATACGTCGCCCGCGAGAGTGAATTGAACGATGTGAGGGTGCCTCGCCTATGATAATTGGGTCTTTGGATGTTATAAGGCGTGCTCGGGCAACATCGCTTGTGATGGCTCGAATAGTGAGGGTACCTGTCTTGAGAGCGTTGACAAGATTATCACGATGACGGAAGGTCAAATCGTGGATGCCTTTGCTCCGATTGAGCGTGGGTCGAGTCTCGCCAGGCATCAAAGTCTCTTCCGGATAGTTCACAAGGCAACATCCGAGCCGTGCTAGTTCTTTAGGCAGGTTTTTCCAGGGGAAGTCATTTTTGGCACGCCCGCGCAGGGTGCCACCAACAGAAGCTGAAATTAAGTCAAAATTAGTGTAAAAGTGAACTCACAAGACTTACCAGCAAGCACCGTTATGCCACCTATAATACAAGGAATACCATCAAGGGCCTTCCATTCATCGTTGACTTGGAGACTGGCAGTAACCTCACTAACTCCTGGGTCCTCTGTCAATACTGCCGCATCTACAAGCTAGAAGCGATTAGCAGAATCTGGATATGAAACTGACTGGGGGGCTTACAAGGTGAGTAATTGTAAAGGAATGGGCGTCCGTCTGCGTAGCAGCATCGACAAGGTGCGAGGGCTTGAATATGGTCGCAGTCATGTTCTGATAGAGTACAAACAAGAGAGTGGATAGAGTTGATGGATAACACACAAAAGAGGCCATAGAAATCTTTGGAATGTGAGTAATAAATTCGAAGAAGCATTAAATGAGGGTAGCGCCGAAAAGCATGACTTACCAAATGGGGCATCAGGACATGGGCGCAGCTTTGATGTCGTCCTGCCGAGCCTGCCGTGGTTGTGACGCGGTGTGACGTGCATGTAACACGGCACATATGAGCCTTGACGCAGAGTTTGCCTGGAGGCTTGGCATTGAGGCTACTGGGAGCCTCCTGCAAGGTGGAAACCATCTGTAAGCCAATGAGCTTGAATATATACATCATACTGAATTAAAAAGACAAACATACGGGCATTCACTAGCATTCAAGGTGTCTGAACTAGCCTCATGAACTCCAGCAGCGCGCCCCATTGTATTAATACCAAATTTTGAACAAGAACACCACAGTCAATCATTGCCAGCGGTATTCTATTTCTCCAATGCAGCACAATGTACCAGTAGTACGGACTTCACAACAACTGTGATCTTGTTAGGGACCATTTTTACAATTCATCTACTTATCCCAATCATCATGGGCCGACGAGCAAAGTACTTTACATTAGACGAGAAAGCAGATGCCTCACAACGACACAGAGAATCATATTCTCAGTCACAACGGTAAGCATTATACAACTCTTGTCCAAGTCTGATTCACAAGTTTTCACTATTACAGAGGTAAAATGACGAGGCAAGCTCAGAATGCTTGTGCCTACGCCAAGTGTCATGGTTGACGTGGACCTCGTACATTCAAGATCCTGTCTGAAGCACCTCTGACATCCTCCTTGTTTCATTTTGCGGCTCTCCCCCTGCCCCATTCTTATCTCTTTCACCAATCCCTTGCTGGTTCAAACTTGATCGACGAATCCGACCTCTCGCAATGGGACAAATCACCTCCTTACGATTTCCCCGATCCACCTGACTCACCAGAGGAAGAGCGTTTTACTTGTAATCTCGTCGATGTGATGCATGGACGACATTTGCAGGTCGAAAGGGAATCTTGCGCACACCGCACAGCCATGTATAATATGGGAGAGAGTGACAGGGTTCTCAAGGAGATTCGAGAGGTGCAGAAGAGTTTGATTTCAGGCTGGAATGAGCTTCATACTTGTGTCTCCCGCTTTCAAGCATGTGCAAGACATAAGATCATGGCTGAATGCTACCACCAGTGGGTAGCACGAATGATCGTGAAGTATCAAACGGAGAAGGACTTGCTAATTGCTGGGAAGAATCCATATGTCTAGACATCATACTACACTAATTCAACTTGGCTTGAACCTACATGCATGCTAGAATAGTGGTATAGAAAGTATGCGAGATCGTAGATAATATCGAAGATCACTCATTTCATCCTCTCAGAGTTGCATAAGTTGTCGTCCACGTAGGACAGCAATGACTGTCGCTAATACCCATACACCACAATCATAACCATTAGTCTGAAGAGGTTTGACCTGCGCGCATCATCAAAAACGGAGGGCTAAGAGGAGAGAAAAGTCATTGAACTTACAGTCAATGGACGAGCTACCCATCTATCCAAGTCAATGTGAATGTTCTTATTTCGTTGACGTGCCACCATCAGAAGTCGACAGATGAGTTTCATGATATCCTGCAAATCTATCAAAATGAGCATTGGATGAAAGTTGAAGGAAACCGACTTTGACATCCTGTTTCCATGGTTTCCGTTCAGCTAGACTATCAAAGAGATGAAGCTCTTTTCTTGACAAGTAGATTACACAAACAACCCAATGCCCAACATCAGATGGTCTATGAATAGGAAGAACCCACACATCTTTCTCCCAATAACGCGTCCGTGATGTATTGCACCAGAGCATATCGTCAGCTGCATTATAGCGGATGCGAGGAAGATCATGCGTAGAGAAGACAGCCACAGCAGGATTTGGCATATCCATTTGTAGAAGGACAGCGCAACCGTTAATACACACATCATTGAGGAATGCGGTCGGATGAGTGAGAAAAGCTATGTCTCTCGGCTCGAACACTTGGGAGGGGAAGGCTCCAGTTGATGACGTGGTTCTAGTTACTATGCGTCCAGGCACAATGACATGCAAGTCTTGAGATGGGATGCAGAAGTCATCAATTAGGAGACCCTGCCAATACATTAGTGATATTTGGCCTATCAACGATATTGACGTACCTCAGGGCAATCCCAGACCATGTCAGCACAAACATTAGACACTAAGTCTTGATCCTCATTGAAATCCGCTCCAGCACTATGACCCTCCAGAATGTCAGCAAGTGCAGCTTGCTCGGGCTCAACCTCTACGGGGTCATCTGCCTCGGGCAGTAGTGGCTCATCCTCCGGAACAGGATCCTGCACCATCACACTCGCCAAATGAAGAGGGGTACCATGAGTACCTCCAGAGTAGATTATAGCCTTGTTTAGTGCCTCTTTTGCACGGCTGCTAAACCGAACCGAAGATGCTAGTGCATTTGACCATTGCACCTTAAGTTTGAGAAAATGTGAGCGCCTCTGTTCTAATGGAACGAGGAAGCGCTCATCTATAAATAAGAATGTCGTCAATGAAACCTTGAATGATTAAGTAGTGAGAACCATACTTACTTTGGGACAATCGAATCGAAAGCTCCAATGCTGTCAGCTCTTCTTCAAAGAAGCGACACAAATTGTCAGCCTCCATGCCTAAGCGTTTTTGCTCCTCCCTGCACCAGTCGCGTTTAAGAAGGGCACGAATTCCGTCCCTAACGTCTGAGTCTTCCAACCATCGGGGTACATTTCCAATCGAGGGTGTAACCCAGACATCTTGCATTAACGTCTGGTCACCACGTAGTTCAGCTAATTTTGTCGGGAGGGGAGTAGGAAGCGGGACATTCCAAGCAGGATTGTAAAGCAACTCTAAGCGCTCACAGTAAGAATTGAATTTTCTAATTGCCGTCATGAGAGCAGGTTGGCGTTTTGCTATAGCTTTGCGAGTGTGTTGATGAAGCTTTGTCCCTGAACAATAGGGTTAGAATGGAGGAATGGTCATACATGAAGGGTTACCTAATGCTTGGTGGGATCCACCTACAGCACGATCAAGCTTATCCCATTCAAAAAAGCTGGCAATAGCACGCTTTCGAATATTTATCTTAAGATCACGTGCCATAAGAAGGACCTGGACGAAGTTAAGATTGACTCCGTCAAGCTCGGGGAATCTATCCTGAACATTAAGAGAAGAGTATAATGCTTCGACTTTAGTCATTAGACGATCGTGGCCCCTTTGTAGGCTCGCGAGGACATTGAAGGTGTCGTCGGATGATGCCTCCTTCTCCAGCATAGTCCTAGTAGTCTGCAGGGCTCGATCTGACACATCCAAGTCAGCTTGTAGAGCGAGAACAGTATCCAGCTCCTTCTTGAGACGAGCAGGAGCATCTAGAAACATCCAACATAAGTACTCGTTGTGTGTGAATTATGAGCTAACTCATGAGTGCGAATCGAGAGCTGGGATTGTCGTTGGTGAGCCCACTGAGCCTGTAGGTCCTCCACAGGCATTTCACAGCGGTTGATAATGTCGAGGGCAGCAGAGCTCTGGGCATTGATGCCCCGCTTGAGACGGTGTTTGATCCAGTCTCCAAGGTCTGCTTTCATTTCTGATCCTATTGCAGTTGCTTGACGGTCGATTAACCACAGACGGCGTTGGCGCTGAATGACTCAAGGTAGTTAGTATGTTGTTAAATGGAACATAATGTAACATACTGATGACGACCTTTCTACACCAATCAACCGAACAAACCGCGACCACAGCCGCTCAGTCCCCTCGCCATCAGATAAGCCAAGGCCTATACACATCTGTGGATTGTACACCAGCTGACAGGCCCATTCATGACCATAGGCATGCATAGCCGTAGTTGCAAAGCGCAGACGTGATACAACATCAGGGGGGAGAATCTCAAACTAAAACTAATTAGCAATAAATCCGATTACAATCGTGTACATACCTTTGAGAGGGACCGAGCGAGAACACAGCCTACATCATAGAGGGTAACAACTGTGGCTTGAGGAGGGAGTAATGTGAACAGATGTTCTATCAGCGCTACCGAATATTTCTGCTGTTCGCCCGGAGAATCAATGTTAGCGAAAAATAAGGGAATATCATGACGGCAGATGAGGGCCATGATTCCCATGTCGTCGAAGCTGTCCATCGCGGTTTTTGTTTCTTCCCATCAGCTGCTTCATACGCATTCTCACATTGGTCGATAGCTTCATCAGGTACGAGGGATGTGTGTGGCTTCGGAGGTCGCTTACATTGTCCATCAATTCGACGTCCAACTGCATCAACAAACTGTTTTGAAAGGAAGTAAGTTGGTTCATAGAAGTGAGGACAATCACCCGCAGAACGTCGGTGGCGATGATGAAAATTGCCATCTGTAGCAACATGTATGTCCGCGCCTTGATCAATGGGCCTCCCATACAGTGTCCCACCAAAGCATGCTGGGCAGCGCTGTGCAAGAAGTGGTGCACATCGGCCAAAGTGCAAGATAGTTGATGCTGAACTTTCATTGCTGGTTACAGTAGGTGGTTGAGGTGGTCGGTGAATAGCCACACAGTCTCGACTGTGTTGGAGGACTGTGTCTACTTGCTGTTCGATTTCGACTTGTAGGATATCGTACCACTGTACAGCATGGCCTAGACCACGATGAAATGGGTCCTGCACGATTTCACCCTTGGGGCTAGTTCAGTGATGTGATATCTCATATGGATATGTCTTACCTGCGAGTCAGTAACTTGAAAACCTCTGCATGAATAGTGCGTTTTGAGAGCCGATGCGAGAGCATTGATTGCATCACAAGAGCGCTCGAAAAGTGCGCGATAAAAGGAGAGTAGATCAACAGATACTGCCATACGAGGTTGTAAAGGTGCAGTAGGGAACAGCCCATGATGAAGGAGGACCTGCGGAAGGCTGGAGCATTCACAGCTCAGTACTTCGATCAATTCAAATCCTGTTGATGTGTTTGACATTCATTAGATCATCAGGTGCGCTGAAAGCATGAGTACTTACTGTCAAAGAATAGACACAATAAATCAGTCTTTTTCTGTGCGCAGGAGAGAGTTGCACATGCTGAGATCACTTTGTGAGGCTTGTCCAAGCCTTGACCAATAGTTCGGGCATAATACTTCAAATGCGGGTCCACAAGGGTAGGTATGAGCTTTCGCCAGTTAGTGTATAATATATTCGTCGGGTTATCGGGGAGAACACGTCGCTTGTGTGAATTGCTCCCCAAGGTTGCAGGCCTATCAGAAAATGACTCCCCTGATGTTTCAACTTCAGCGCCTGTGAAATCCAAGTCGTCCAGAATGTTCATCTTGTTGACTTCACCGGCATGACCTCCTAACACGGTACAAGGAGAAGACCCTGTTTGGGAGGGTGCATGATCCAAGAGTCGTTGCATTTGAGCAAGTAAACGACGACATTTGAGTTGTGCGCCAGGCAACTCAACAAGTGTTTGAGTTTTCCTCCTATCCCTGGCTTTCCTTGGGCTTATGAAGTGTTGCCCAAGGCCAGAGGAAACAAGTTGAGCTTTACGAGTGTTGAGGGATTTAGTTGGAGTCATGGCGAGAAGAATGCCATCAACTTACATGCACAAAGACCATACATATTACAGACGCCAGACAGCTTGTCGCAAAGCCATGTGACACATGGGAAGAAATTCCCAAAAGTAGGGCAACAAGTGCACAGGAGGAGGGTAATGAGGTGCCGAGAGGAGGGTAATGAGGTGCACAGGAGGGTAACAAGGTGCTGAGAGGAGGGCAATGAGGTGCGCAGGAGGGTAACAAGGTGCCGAGAGGAGGGCAATGAGGTGCGCAGGAGGAGGGTAACGAGGTGCCGAGAGGAGGGCAACAAGGTGCCAAGAGGATGGCAATGAGGTGCCAAGAGGAGGGAGAGCAATGATATGCGCAGGAGAAGAGCAATGAGGTGCCTAGAGATGAGGAGGGCGACGCTATGTCAGGTTCTAACACTACAACCGTAGAACCTGACGAGAAGCTATATGGCGGAGGGTCGTGATCTGGAATATGGGATGGAGACTCGTAGGGTTCCACGTCATCTTGAATAAGCATACGAGGTAGACACGAGATAGGTTCGTGACATACCTTGTGAAAACCAAACGACAGACAGCGTAGACGAGAGCCTAAGAGTTCAGATGCCGGATGAAGTAGTATAGCACTTTTAGAGTTCATGCAGGCCCGCAGGGATGTGCTGGAGGCCCACGAGGGAATGCGAGAGTACAAAATATGATTGAATGGTGGATAAAGTGGTGCTAGAGCCCTATTGTGAGGGTTAATGGAGGCACGCAGGGAGGTGCTGGAGGCCCGGGAAGGAATACGAGAGCAAGAACTATAATTAGATGGTGGGAGGGTGGGTCTCAGAGACTAGTTTCCCACAACATAGAAACCGGGTCTCTTAGACCCTTTATAGGCACCGAAAAGTGCTGCCTGAGGTGTTGTAATGCCGGTCACGACACCATTGGAGTGCAATGATTATGTAATGGTGCATACTTAATTTATTTACGGCTGTTTGCATACATGCAGCATACGAGCAAGTTGCTATTAGCTATTGCAAATTCAGCAGCAGTCTAAACCCTGCGATGTGGGTCCATGTAATACACGGGCCTCTTGCGTCAAGTCCCGAATGAAAGGTCACTAAATTTCCAGCGCTTCCAGGTCTGACAAGACTCTTCTGCAAGTGTCTCAAGCATATTTACTGGCATCGGGTCGGCACGTGCAAACAAGCGCTGATACGACGTTCGCGTCCCAGGGCTACTACTTGTTGCTCTCCCGTCATCCATTCACTCCTGACCCTTTCTTCCACTGACTCCCATCGATTCGAAGGATAATGTCTGGAAATACCCCTACCGTAGTCGCCTCCTCTGCTCCTCTCTACATCTCCAGTAAGAAATTCCCACTTACCGTGCATTTCACCCTTGAACATTTTTCTTCCTAGATATTGTCATCCGCCTTGATGATACTTCGAAGAAGAAGGTCGATTTTGCCGAGTTGAATATCGATTCACAGCAACAGGAGATCCGCTACATCTCGGATCAAGACAGGGACCTTAGTAAAAAATTCGACCCCGCCATGTGAGCTCTACCTACTATGTGACTGGGAGCAACTCGTTCAGAACATCGTAACACAGTCCGGTGACCACTGAGCAGGTTTCCTTATCTGTACACTGTTACCATACTACGGGCTTGTTTCCGCGGAAGATCGCCGTGAATTTTCCATTAAACAGAAAAGACATCTTGGCCAATATAGTGGATCACGACGGCCAACGAGGTGAACCGATTTCCCTTCAGCTGTGTCGCATTAAACTTATAACTTGATGTGATAGTGTATAAGGTGATTCGGAGGAAGCTGACAGTTGTCATTACAATACGGTCAGTGTATTGGTCTCTTATGTTAGAAGCAAACTGGGAATCATCGTCCACATTATTGATATCAGACAGCTGCAGTCGACTAGCAGCAGTATTCTAGAGATTTGCCCAAGATTCCGGCTACTGGTAATAGGGAAGGTCTGTCTCTGACATTGTCTTCAAACATAGACGACTCACGCATCCACTTTGTAGACCGGAGTCGGAAAGTCATCACTGATTCAGCAGGCATTCAAAATCAAAGAAGTAGTGAGTCCGTGAATTAGTGCCACGTGGGGACAGTTGTTGATATTCACCTATCCCTTCACAGAAAGTTGATGAAAACAAGCGTGGTGAAGCGGATATCAACGAGGAATTCACTGCGCCAGAAAATGAGCGATTTGTTGTCCACGATAGTCAGGGATTTGAAGCTGGCGATAGCATGATATTTAAGACTGCAAAAGACTTCATTGCCCGCCGCCGCAACGAGCCCGAATTGCAGGACAAAATCCACGCGGTCTGGTACGGTCTTCTGGCTTCCGCTGCCACTCTTCCATATTGACACTGCTTGAAGGCTCTGCCTCTCGATACCTCATGCCAATGGACGTTTGCTTGAGAACGGAGTAGAGGAATTTCTCAAATCAAGGCAGGAAATACTAGGCGATAGTGCGCAATGTTTTCATTTAGTTTCTCATAACTTACATCTCAAATCTAGTTCCGATTATTGCTGTCTTCACCAAGCATGACGTTTTTGTCAGCGAATTGGAGCTCGAAGCTGCTGATTCCGACCAATATGATGAAGCCGCGCTCGAACAGCTCAAAGTTGACGAATTGGATAGACTGTGTATCCGGCCGCTTAAGGAAGTAGCTGGGAGTGACATCTTGCATATAACTGTTTCTGGTAAAGGGGTTTCACTTCTCTAGTTTTCGATGCTGAAACACCGTTATAGCGAAGCAAGAGCACGAGAGCACCATAAGACGACTGGTCGATCTTACAACCACGAACGTCGAAACATTTGTCGCCTCAGAAGCGGCATTGGTCATGATGATGGCCCAGCGAGTAGACATTGGTTCTAAAATTAAGGCATCAATTGCGTACGCACGACCACTATTATTTTGGTAGAGCCTCAAATTCAAACTATTACTCTCCACAGGATCGGCGAGAAAAGTTAGTTTCGTCACAGTCTTCTGCGCCTTGATGACTTCCGAATTTCTAGGATATTGGAGAGGTCTCGCTTCGAGCATGAACTTTGCAGGCTTTACCATGTTGGATTGCTTGTCTGTGATTCACAAGGACATCATTGACGTTTGGAACTTCAACGACACTAAATCTGTAAGATATATATCTAATTTTATGTTGCAGGCTGCTGACACGTTCCTGTGAAGCACTTGGCCAGTGACCAGTTCAAAGAACTGATACTAAAAGATATAGACAATGCCGCCCTTCCACGTGCAGCACAAGCTTTGTGAGTTATTTGTTATTATACTCCGAGACATTTTCAATTTACAGCAACATTTGCAGTGGATTCGGCCTCACCGTGGTCGCGGCAATTGCATCGATTTTGACAGTGCTGGCTGGCCCGGCCCTACCAATTGTTGTGCCGATTGCCGCAGGGGCGGTCTTGGCTAAATTGGCTTATGATACCTATCAACAGAAGTAAGTAAATGAACGTTGTTTCCGTTCGAAACGTAGTTCATAAGGTGACCAATCTAGAACCATTGTCTTGCGGCGGATTATGACATACATCGTGGATTTAACATGCATCATGCAGATTTTGTTCCTGCTTGCACCGACGGGGCCTATTTCTCCTCACATCATTAAAATTGCCATCAGAGCCTATGAGGGGGCGGGCAAAAGCAATGTTCACTTAGCAATTCAATCCCACCATGTGTCTGTCAATCGTAACGGGGGGGACCATGCGCTGGATGAGATTGTTAGATTGATCAACGACTATACTATCAAGGCTGAAGAAGTTCAGGACCTAAGAACGAGGATTGGACCCGTGGATTTGCGAGCAGACGAAGAGTGGTAGATGTGTGCGGGCCTGCATACATGACAGCGGTCAATGATTGTGGTTTGTAATGTGTACCTTGTTCACTAATACGTGCATGCACGCATTTACTTATCTATGGATTCACTTGTACTAGCACTCACGCTCATTTCCTGCCATGTCATAGCTACAGTCGTTCTCGGACACTACAGTTGCGGACAAGCAAAATCGACAAGTATGGTTAACCTTTCCACAGCCTTCTGAAACACCTGGATAACGACACACTAAGCATAATTAGACTATTTACAGATGTACAAAGTACGATTCAAGCTGCCAATTACGATGTTGTGGTCACTCAGACCCCAAAATTTGGCCGGTACCTCAAACTAGTGCCTAAAATCTCGAGAAATAGTGCGATCGACTCCTTTTTCAAGCCTGTCTGACCCTGGGGTCAAAAATGAGGAATGTCTATAGTTTGGTCCCCAAAAAAATTAATAAAGTTGCACTACTCACCCATCCGAGTCTGCTCATGGCACACTCAAAAAGACCTAGGCGAAATACTCAGTTGTTGAACCAAGACAATTCTGAACCGAAGTTCGAGTCAATGCCTTGAAGCCCAGCCTGAGGTTCTGTGCACCAAGTCCCGAAGAATATGTTGATGAAGAGCCCCCTCCCTCTGCACTTATTCTTTGATAGTTTGAAAACAGATTTTGCTGAGCTTGACACATCAGACTCAGAGACAGTATCAGATGTGGATGACCACATCAGCAAACTAGGGGGTGTCTGTACAATAGTGTACAAGATTGTACAGCATTGTACAAACATTACAATTACACAAGAAAGTCCCCCCTTTACAATGCTGTCACATACCCCTACAATCTGTACATCTTGTTACAATGCAGACAAACTGCACACATGATACAGACTGCACACATGATACAGACCATACAAAGTATACATTTAATTACAGCTTCACACAGTAAACATGAACCAAACTGTGGTAATGATTGTCTGACAAAAAAACATCACAGGTTCGTGTCATATTTATGCATTACTTGCTCTAATTGTAGAGCATCTGTGATGCATTCATCCTACAGCTGTAGTGCCCCCGCATAGTAGCAATACTTGTATACCTGATGCATTACTCCTCCCACTCATCCCTAATGCATCACTTGTCTCCCTATAACACTGATGCATTATCTGAAGCTGATGCACGCTCCCACCGTTGTTCTGATGCATCCCTCGGTGTTCTCTGATGCATGACTCCTCCCAGCTGATGCACACTCCCGCTGTTGTTTTGATGCATCCCCCGATATTTTCTGATGCATGACTCCTCATCGCTGATGCTCCCCTGCCATTCCCGCTGTTTATTTGATGCATCCCCCGATGTTCCCGCTGTTTGTTTGATGCATCCCCTGCCATTCCCGCTGCTTGTTTGATGCACGATATATATTGGTAGATGTACTACTAGCTACTGGCTATATAATACATTCTTCGGACCCATCCTGCACATTCAGATGAGATAGTGTCTGTGCCCAATTCACCTCAAACGAGGCTGCCAGTTGCATGCGCAAGTGCGCCTGACGATGTGCATACACTACGCACCCATCCTCATGCTCCGTGTCAGTCGGTACAACCTCATTGCGCCTTTCATCCCAACGCCTCGCTTCCCACCTCAGGAATGCTCCTATGCGACACATTTCCTCTCGAAGGAGTGCTACTTCCTCCTCCCATCGCATTGTGCAAGCTCTCGCTTTGCACCATTCAATCCTCATGTCTGTAGGTAGCATCGTTAGAAAGAGAACTCATTCTCGGATAATGCTTACCTTCCAAAGCTCCATTATCATCTTTTTTGCTTCCACCAGCGCCCCGCATATTCCAGATCCACGAGAGCTTTCGTCTGCCTTTGGATTCTCCCCAAAGAATGTCGGACATCGAGCGTATGTCTTGGCGGCTTAAGGGACATAGCGAAGATTGCCAGCCGGACTCATTCAACAAATTACCTAGAACCACCAGTGCCTTATGTGCACTTTCATATCTCCTAGTAGCGGATTCAATCCTAATGTCAATCACCTTGAGAGTGTTGCGAGCTCTGGTATTCGCCCCTTGTCCTTGAAGGTGTCGGTCTTTGTGCTTGAGAATGGCTGTTTGAGCGTGCAGGCAGGAGCGCAAAGAGCGAAGCACATTGTGGCCTTGAGCGTATCAAAGTTGCCATTCTGTCCTCTGCAGGGATTGATCGCAAGGTAGAGACCTCCCGATCTGTGAAGGTAACCATAACTTGAAGCTTTCAGCGGTGGAAGAGATGGAGGAAGGGTTTGCAGCGGTTGCATTGTCCGAGATCCGCATGGCCGCGATGTTGGGCATATAGAGCTCTTGGATCTTGACCCAGGAATCAAGGCGACACTGTAATGCATTACTACACTCGACTAATTTACCTTCTTGATTGTCCGTGACGTGTAAACCACGACCATCCTTGTCAGCTCTCAAGCACCGTCTGAGAGAAAGTATGAGTCACCATGCAAGTGAAAATGTATGAAAAGATGTACTGTTGCTACTCAAGTTCCAGCGCCAAACTGATCAATATACTAGGGGAGCAATCCTCATAAAGTGAGATACGGGCACCGCTCTGCATGCTTTGTTCCTCTTCTTTGGCCAGCGCTAGCCGAACAGACGCTAGTGTTATTACTGAAATGAAAACCAATGTGTCAGTACTTCGTAATGGTGAATGGGTCACATACCATCTGAGTTTCGCTTGAAGGGATTAAGTTGACTTTGATCATTCTCCCAGGCCTCCACCTGCGATCTCCATTGCTCTAAAACCTCCCCATACTCCTCTTTAAGGCCTTCTTCAAGGTCGTTAAGGGCTGCTTGATGATCCGCACATTGAGGCACAGCTTCTTTAAGCTTGCGCTGCATAGTATTACCTGAGAAAACAAATGAGCCCAACTCCCCAACACAAGAGACATACGAACCAAGACCAACAACTTTTTTCCAATTCCAGTCGCCGAAAAAATCATCTAAGGTATCCCACCATGCACCAGGTCCCATCTCCTTGGTGCTGGATGCAATGGGGTTGATGTTGGCCCACCCACATTCTGGTGCTTCGCCATCCGTGCGACCAACACCTCGTTTGAAGTTGAACGAAAAGGTAGTCTGGCATTTCTCGACATGCGCAGGTAAGTGAAACTTCGGCACGAAGAAAGAGATGGCCTTGGAAGTGTGATCGAACTGCATTGAAGTAGGGAATGTGCTCATACGCTGCCATAGCTTTTTATGCCACTGGCAGGCAATATTGTAGGAGATGTTGAGAGTTTTCAGGGACAAATGGCGAAGGGTTGAAAAGAATAAGTAGTCCATATTTATATACCTATTGGCTGTCAGTCAATGCATATCCCGAAGTTCAATAATACTTACTTTTCACCTTTTTGAAGGTCTCCAACTGCGTTTGGCCGTTTCATATTGTGACGGGCACAGTCGATGGTGCCCAGACCAGTAGCAGCCAGGCCCCGGTTGATCTTCGTGTCTGCCATGTTGACTGCAGTATGACTGGAACAAGTAGATTTCTAAACACGATCAGCAGGTAACCACCGCAGTACAGCGGACCAGAGACTTACCTCTTGAACAATGTCGATCTTCTCTGTGAGGAATTCCTTGTACCCTGCCTCCTCTACAAAATAAGTCCAGCCGCGACTTAAACTGGGGTCCGTGATATTGTTGGAAACAACTTTCTGCTTGAGACGGAAGTTGGCGTCGATGGCGACAAACAATGCATACATCCAACTGACAAAACCGTTAAGTATCCACCTATATGATAGAGCCTCCGACTCACCGTTTCGCCTGAGGAGCATTCTCCCAATTGTCTGGTACATTTTTACCAGGGTGCGGACAAGCTGGACACAACACAGCACATTCTCCTTCTACTGTAGCATCCAAGCCTTTGGGGTCATGCCCTCTGCCAGACCGCTTAAGCATGGTTAAATGTCGCCATTCACGTAACATTCACATGAAACACTCATATCGAGACTTTGTGATCGCATTAGCTTTGTTGCGAGCGTGCTGATCAACACACTTACTAACCTTCACAGGGGCCAGACCGGTGTTGTTGGTTCTCTGCGTAAGAGCATTGTAAAATTCATAAGCCGATACCTTAGACTCAAAAGACAATATATGGAATTCCTCCAGGAGACGGAATGTTGCTGCCGTTTTAGGGTTGGCCGTCGTGGAAGGAAACCAAGAGATTCAAAGAAGTTGTTGTACGTGTGCGACTGCATTTGAACAACCGCAGAAGTCGAGTGATACCTCATGAATAGCATGAGAATCCATGACAACGAAATCATCGTTGAAGGCACGATGGGGTTTGGGGCACACCTGACCAGGTGCATGGCCCAATTGGATTCGGAGCCCGAGGGCTTTCAGGGTGACACATTCAAAGAACATTCCATTCCATTTCTGCAGAGCTCGGTCAGAACATCTCATATTATCAAAACGGACAACTGACCTGCAATCTATGGAGTGGATGGAGTTGGTGTGCAGTTTTGATACAGGATGAACATTGGAGATTGACGCCAAAACAGTCTTCACAATGATAGTTGGGGGAAAGATCACTGCACCCAGAACACGGCGCGTTCCTGAGGTTGCCCTTGCCTTCGAGATGCAATATCTCTTCAAGAAACAGAGGGTGATCCTTTAACCACACAAGTAACGGATGATCCTACACACTTTGAGCAATGAGAACACATGATCCGAATCTAAAACTTACTCCTGGTGCGTGACCTATTCTTACATCTTCATCGTTGAACGGCACGGTATCGACATCCCATGATTCAACAGTGTTATCAAATTGAGCAGGGATAAGGGCTGATGTTGTCGACTTAGGCTGGGTTGTTGCCTGGGTGTTCTTAGGAGGCTTGAGATATGACCGTGTGTAGCTAATAGATCCATCCACGCGAACTTGATACTGAGTATGCTGACGATGCTGAATCCCTGATGGCTTGGAAGTGTGCAAGTAGGAATTTAGCTTGGGATTCTTCTTCCGCTTCTTGTTCGGCCACAAGGCATGTAGAGTTCGTGATAGTTCTTCAGTGCAATGGATCACCTGGGATGATGTTGCCCCTGCAGAGGGCAAAGCAGCACTAGCAGAGGTGCTCATGCTCGCGAAACGCGCCAAGTACCACCCAGCGACAAACTCATCAGCTGTGAAATCATTAGTAAGCGATCTGACATTGATCTTCCACTTACCTAGATTCTTGGATGACAGTGGCAGTACCTTTGCCATTCGTGTGCGTGAACGGCTGTCAGTTTTGGTAAACAATGTGGCAGGAAATTCCTCTACCATGTATGCATACAGTTGTGAAAGTCGCTTATGTAATAATCCTAAACCGTCATACAGCACTGTACCTGATCATATTCCTTCTTGCTAACGGTCAACGATGCATCCAACGGCTCGTGCATAAAAGGTCATCTAAGTTGGAGACTCGCGAGTTCATTCGTCTCTTCTTTGTCCTTACTGATTTTCATGGTGAACCACAACCGTCTGGACCGTGAAGGTCAAACTATCCTTGGTACGTTGTTTTGTCGTTGATCATTGATTCTCACTCATTATTGGCAGATGCTGTAATACAGCTTTTATCCTCGTTGACGCTCTCCCTGGACGACGCTCACAATCTCATTCGAGTTGTTGTCGACAGTACCGAGTTACAGTCACCTTCCACTTTGGAGACTCCTCAGCCCCCTGCTCCTCACCCCACTACCCAGATTCATCTCGTGACCTCTCCCATTGTAACTCCAGCTTCCACTTTGCAGACTCCAGTTCCCACTGCGCAGACTAAATCTCCCACCCCCCTTGTTGTGCAGACTCTTCAGCCTCCTGTGTCCCTCTCGGTTCCATCTTCATCCATCCTCCCAACAACCACAACAACCTTCAATGGGGAGGAAAGGCATCAGCAGCAATACAATAGCTTCACCTTTGATATTCCATCTGCTGACGCAAATGGACCATTCTACCTTGTCAACCGAGGTCGCCATGTTGGCGTTTTTGATACATGGTGCGGTTTTTTCCTCACTCTAATTCCAGTATCTGATATTGAATCACAGGCCACGCACTTCCCCCCATGTGATTGGGGTGAAAACATCTTCATATAGTCGTGCACGGTCCTTGTATGATGGGATTTCGCGTATCATGGATGCCATAGACCTAGGAGAAGCAGTATGGCTTCCTTGAAGGGAAGATAGGCGACTCTTGATTCACATAGTTCGAATACAATTTTTGTAGTGAGGATCCGTACAATATAATGAGGATCTGTTGACTCCTTGTGGCAATTACTCTGTGAATAAATGTAGATAATGCGCGAGGTGCGGAATACGTCTAAGTCAAGTGGGAAAGTGAAGCACTAGCATGTCCTGAAGGAGGAATGCGTAATCTACAATGAGACAGATGTGTATAGACTCTACAACACAGCAAAATCAGGGAACACTTGTGTGCCATTCAATACTGTGCTTATTAAGAACTCATATCTTTCTGCGGCATGATATCCTTGACACTTTCCAGTGGCGCTTGACTTCAATATTAAAAAGGTGAGCGTTGCCAGGTGCAACAACAGTGAGCCCCTTCAGTGACAAATTCCGTATTATACGGGCCACCCGACCTCCATAATATCCCGTATGAGACGGGCCAGCTGATCATGGGCCCATGTTGTGTATATTCTCGATGATGACGGATGGGCCGGGACACATATTATTTCCGATGGAGACGGGTGGGCCCATGTATGCCAATGATATATATATCCTTAATGTTGACGGATGGGCCGGGGGAATATGATCATTCATGGAGATGGGTGGGCCCATCTGGGTAATATGTAGAGTAGGATATTATAGACAGCTGGGCTGAAGAGAGATGTAAGGCAAATATTGTTATATAGACGGGCGGGCCGACGTGGGTGTATTACATATATGGGTGGGCCGAGGTAGGGAAATATTACATAGACGGGTGGGCTGACGTAGGGTGTATTACATATACAGGTGGGCCGACATGGAATGTATTACATATACGGGTGGGCCGACGAAAGGGATATCAAATAGACCGGTGGGCCGAGGGTGCTATAAAATATTTATTACATAGACAGGTGGGCCGAGGTGGGGTATAATTATATAGACGGGTGGGCCGATGCAGGATGTATTATATAGACGGGTGGGCCAACATAGGATGTATTACATAGATGGGTTGGCTGACGTGGGGGATAATACATAGATGGGCGGGCCGTCGGGGGTGTATTACATATATGGGTGAGCCTAGATATGTTCCATCAAGACATACAGCTGATGTAGCCACCAGCGAATCAAACACATAGGATACATGTACACTATGAGTGCATATACCTACCATCAACCACCAAATCTAAACCCCTAAGCACAAAAACATGAATCGATCATGTGTGGCATTGACCAATAATCCAGGACTGAAGTGGAAAAACCCCACACCTGAACCCTGGTGTGCAACAAATCCTATTTCTAAGCATGGACACCAGAAGCACAACACCCACAAAAATATATATGTCAAATTTTCAGTGCCAAACCCCAAACCGAGATGTACCAACCCCTGAAACCCGAAACCTGAGACTGCCGGGTCTCAGGTATTGGGTGTCCGGAACTCGGAACTTGGGAGAATTTGGGGAGATCAATACAATTTAATTTACAATCGAGTTGATTGACAACACATTGACTTACCCATGTTTGCAATATATTTTTGTTTAGACATACCGAGTTCCGAGTTCCGGACACCCGATACCCGAGACCCGAGACTGCCGGGTTTCGGGTGTCGGGTGTCCGGAACTCGGAACTTGGGAAAGTTTGGGGAGATCAATACAATTTGATTCACAATCAAGTTGATTGACAAACACATTGACTTAACTATGTTTGCAATATATTTTTGTTTAGACATACCGAGTTCTGAGTTCCGGACCCCCGGACCCCGAAACCTGAGACTGCCGGGTCTCAGGTATCGGGTGTCCGGAACTCGGTATGTCTAAACAAAAATATATTGCAAACATAGTTAAGTCAATGTGTTTGTCAATCAACTTGATTGTGAATCAAATTGTATTGATCTCCCCAAACTTTCCCAAGTTCCGAGTTCCGGACACCCGACACCCGACACCCGACACCCGGCAGTCTCGGGTATCGGGTATCGGGTGTCCGGAACTCGGAACTCAGTATGTCTAAACAAAAATATATTGCAAACATGATTAAGTCAATGTGTTGTCAATTAACTCAATTGTAAATTAAATTGTATTGATCTCCCCAAATTTCCCCCGAGTTCCGAGTTCCGGACACCCGATACCCGAGACTGCCGGGTGTCGGGTGTCGGGTGTCCGGAACTTGGAACTTGGGAAAATTTGGGGAGATCAATACAATTTGAGTCTCGGGTATCGGGTGTCCGGAACTCGGAACTCGGGGGAAATTTGGGGAGATCAATACAATTTGATTCATAATTGAGTTGATTGACAAACACATTGACTTACCCATGTTTGAAATATATTTTTGTTTACACATACTGAGTTCTGAGTTCTGGACCCCCCAACCCCACAACCCGAGACCCAGCAGTCCACAATTCTGGGGTTCAGGGGTTGGCAAAATGTGTATGAATATATGAAAGGTTGAATGAAACATTTTTGAAAGATGTCTCATATCAAATGTTAAGTCCCGAGTTTCGAATTTCGGGTTTCAAGACTCCAGGTTTTGGGACTCGGCACTCCCAAAATCCAGAAGTTGAAACTCGGGATTTGACATTTGATATGAGACATCTTTCAAAAATGTTTCATTCAACCTTTCATATATTCATACACATTTTACCAACCCCCGAACCCCAGAATTGTGGACTGCCGGGTCTCGGGTTTCAGGGTTCGGAGGTCCGGAACCCGGAACTCGGAACTCAGTATGTGTAAACAAAAATATATTTCAAACATGGGTAAGTCAATGTGTTTGCCAATCAACTCAATTGTAAATCAAATTTTATTGATCTCCCCAAATCTCCCCAAGTTCCGAGTGCCGGGACCCCCGAACCCCGAACCCCGAGACTGCCGGGTCTCGGTGTTCGGGGGTCCGGAACTCGGAACTCGGTATGTAGAACAAAAATATATTTTCAACATGGGTAAATCAAATTTTATTGATCTCCCCAAATTTCCCGAGTTCCGAGTTCCGGGACCCCCGAACCCCGAGACCTGGCAGTCCACAATTTCGGGGTTCAGGGGTTGGTAAAATGTGCATGGATATATGAAAGGTTGATTGAAACATTTCTGAAAGATGTCTCATATCAAATGTCAAGTCCCGAGTTTTGATTTCCGGGTTTCAGGACTCCGGGTTTCGGGACTCCGGGCTTCGGGACTCAGCACTCTTGAAACCCAGAAATCGAAACTTGGGACTTGACATTTGATATGAGACATCTTTTAAAATGTTTAAACCAACCCTTCATATATCCATACACATTTTACCAACCCCCGAACTCCGAAATTGTGGACTGCCGGGTTTCAGGGGTCCGGGGTCCCGGAACTCGGAACTCGGAATTTGGTATGTAAGACAACAAAAATATCTTTCAGGGTTCAGGGGTTAGTGAAATGTTTATAGATATACGTAGATTAATTCAAACATGTCTGAAAAATTTCATTCATCTCAAATGTCAAATCCTGAGTTCCGGACTTCGGGACTCAGCACCCGGCAGTCAGGGTTGGGGGTTCGGCACTGAAAATTTGACATTCGGGTGTTCAGGTTTTGGGTGATATCTAAATCAACAACTTCGAGTTCTGCCAAAGCGTGAAACTTGAAACCCAGTGTGCAACATGTTGATTTTTCATTTATATCACACAAATCATCGAGTTCCGAGTGCCGAGGGCTGAGACCCAAAGCCTGAGACCTGAAAATATGTACACAACATGTCCATTTTTCACTCACTGCACAAATCACCGAGTTTCGAGTGCCAAAGCGTGAAACTTGAAACCCAGTGTGCAACATGTCCATTTTTCATGTACATTACACAATTCATTGAGTTCCGAGTGCCGAGGGCCGAAACCCGAACCCCGAGACCTGAAAATATGTATGCAACATTTCCATTTTTCACTTGTTGCACAAATCACCGAGTTTCAAGTGCTGAAACCCGAAACT